CCGATATAATAATTAGCCTGAGGTCAGACACCCTATCCAACACAAAGCAATACTTTTACTTCCTTGCTGCCAGATATTACATATGGTCCTGCAAAACAAAGGAAGTACTCCCAAAAATTGAAAGATTTCTTAGTTTTCTATCTTCTTTAGTACCTTTTGAATCTTAAACCTCAAATAACATATATAAAAAAATTAAAATTAAAACAATTTCAATATATACGTTTTCAAAGGAAGCCATGCATGCACGAGAATAGATTAATAGTTTAGCTGAGATTCATAGTAATGACCTTTTTATCTTCGTAGCTTACTGAATACATGTAGTCTGTTAGAAATGTAATGTATTGTACTTCGATGTAAGTATATGTTGTCATTTAATAAAAAGAAAAAAAAAAAAAAGAACTTATGTCGACTTATGACGTGTACCCGTACCGAGAATTAAAGAAACATTTTTAGTAAGAGGAGAAGATCATTACATTTTCTTGTGACAACCAAGATTAGTATCTGATCTGTTTTTGGAAATCACAAACTTCCTTTTTATGTTCTCGGCAATTTTGTCCTGAGAAATTAAAATTGTACAGAAATGGCTGAAGGAACGAAAACCTCAGAGACTAAAAACGATCTTCGACACCAGATACGGTAAAATAACCAATGAAAGTGAAACGTTTTTGGCAAAATTGCAAACTAATACGAATATATGGATCCTTTGAAACTGAAAATAACAGAAACGTTAAGGTATAATTATAACTATCAAAAGATGGAAAATGTAGATCACGTAAATAGGAAAAAGGTTTGTTTATACTTTTCCTGACTTCTTATGTTCAGTTTGTTACCGCGCTGTAATTCTCCAGCTAGGATTGATAACTAGTTTGGTCTCCTTGGATTCTACGTACATTGCTGTAGAACCTCGGACTATTATGTTTATCCTTACGTTAATTTATATCAGTAGCCAGAAAATGTCGGTTATTTCAAACTAAACAAAAAAAAAAAAAANGAGGAATCCAAATGACCTGGATACCAAAAACCGCAACCAATAAATAAAATTTTATCTTATGCAATTGTGGGTATATATGGGCATCAGATTTCCTTACCTCTCAGAGTGTCATCGTCAGATTCCACCATCTCTGGCATCAATGTCGCTTCATTATGTGTTGTGTCAGCTGGTCCTAATAAAGGAAAACAAAACAAAAGTGTTCATATCACAAAGGGTAGTGAGACCGAGCAAACAACTGAAACAAATAATTTAAATTGAACGTAACATCGTTAAGAATCCCAGCAATAAAGAGAACTTCAGTGTAAGAATTTTTAGCTCGCGTAAATAACGTTAACCCGTCTAGTAATTCGTTTTTGTCTGCATACGAGTAACTAGACGGATTATTCGTCAAGACGACTTATCTGCTATAGTAGTTTATCTTGACAGACGATGTAAATTGTATAATTTGGTGAAAGGATGATATGTCTGTTTGCTCGTGTTTATACACAGACTTACTATGCTCGTAACTCGTCCCGTAGTTACGAGACGGATGATTCGTCTTGACAGATGATTCGTTGCGCTAAAACAAAACAGGCCAATCACGCAATTTTTTCATTATATTGGTGTCAGGTTCCGGCACCTCTCAAACTGTCGTCGCCAACTAAATGATACCTTTCTTGTGAAGCACTCGGATTCATTTCTGGCATCAATTTCTGTTAATTGTATGCTATGTAAACTGAATCTGACAACGCAGTAGAAATGTATTGTCATCTGTTCTGTTCAACCTGTGTTTTGACCTCATCTTTTAACTGATTTATTTACAATCTTTCTACAGGACTGTTTCATTTCTTTGTAAATATCAAAATTGAAAACAATCGTAGAATTGCTTCTTTTTAAATTGACTAGCAAATTTTGAAGACTACTGCGGGAGATATATACATAAAAAAGGACAAACGTAAGAGAGAATTTTGATATACCTGTGATTTCTTGTAAATGTATCAGATCCTCAGATGCTTCATGAACATTACCTATAGAATTAAGTGAGTAATATAGTCAGTAAAAATCATTTAAAGCACACAGAAGGCCTATTTCACTCGTGCGGAGTGAAATGATGAAGTATTGTGGCAAAAGATTTAAGCTTGCTTATAAGAGGCCACGAATGGGAAGGTTGTCCATCATAGGCTTACTCGTTTCATATTTTGCCAAACTGCCCGCAGTCATGCTTTTATAACTTCAGGGTTCTCAGGAGGATAGGAGCACCGCGGGAGTAAAGTATTGAGTCGAATGATACAGCATGAGTACTCTGGCTTGCAATAACGAGTATATTTTTTCTCTTAAAATGGAAAACGAAAGATTGGTGTTAACGCCTTCCTACTAAGTTAAAAGAAGTGAAAGACTTGCTTTCTTCTTGCAGTATTGATACTGAGGCAATGAGATCGACGAAAAATCATGAAATAATGTATCGCCAAATTTGATCAGAAACTGAAAGGAATAAACAGTAAACAAAACGGACAGTTTACATTCTGAACTTTGCGAGAACTTACCCAGATGACAATTTGAGAGCCACCTACATCGGTAAAGCTCGACGTTCAGTTGTTCATCTTTACACTTGACATTAATCCCTTCAGTGTAGAAACTTAAGGCCTTTTGGAATTCTTCTTTGGCTAACTCAGCATCTCCTAGCTCTTTGTAAACTTTCGCTGTTTCTGTGGGAAACAAAACCCAAATTGATGAGTAATTAGTGCAGGGCTACTTTTGAAATATTGTTTAGCCGTTTGCAATTGACTGTGGTGATATATATTAGGATATTTTCTCACCTGTCAACGCGTCATTGTCAGCTAAATCCATATTTTGGGAAGAACTTTGTTCCTGTGCCGTGTCAACTGGTTCTAATAAAGAACAGAAATCAATGTAAGTGTTTTTCTGTTTGATTTGTTATGTGACCCTTAATTTCAATTGTTTTCTGCAATTTTTCTGCCTGTTATTTGAGTCTTATTTTTCTGCAATCCCCCTTAAGTTTCTCTCTTAGTGCAAAAG